CACCAGCACAACACCATCAGTGATCACCAGCACAACACCATCAGTGATCACCAGCACAGCACCATCAGTGATCACCAGCACAGCACCACCAGTGATCACCAGCACAGCACCACCAGTGATCACCAGCACAACACCATCAGTGATCACAAGCACAACACCATCAGTGATCACCAGCACAACACCATCAGTGATCACCAGCACAGCACCATCAGTGATCACCAGCACAACACCACCAGTGATCACCAGCACAACACCATCAGTGATCACCAGCACAGCGCCATCAGTGATCACAAGCACAACACCACCAGTGATCACCAGCACAGCACCACCAGTGATCACCAGCACAGCACCATCAGTGATCACCAGAACAACACCATCAGTGATCACCAGCACAGCACCATCAGTGATCACTCACAGCACCACCAGTGATCACCAGCACAGCACCATCAGTGATCACCAGCACAACACCATCAGTGATCACCAGCACAGCACCACCAGTGATCACCATGAATTTGTCATGCCTGCGTCTTAAACGGTTCGTAGCCTGGGCATTCTGCTGGACGTGGAACTTTCTGTGAATAATCACATTGCCAAAGTCATCACCGCTTATTCTGGTGTTCCGGACGAATACTTATATAGTAGCGTCAGCCGCTGTATCTCGGCGAGATACAGCGTCCTTTCATCCTTTCAGCGTCCTTTCGTGTCTATTTTTCGCTTCCAATTTATCAATGAAAATTTTGCCAATAAAATATGCCGCAAACGAGTGAAATAATTTTGATAAAAATTTCCAGCACACATAGCGACAATTATGCATAAGACCTTGAGGAATAAAACAAGGAGCTTTACCAACAAAATTTCCAGGACAGAATTCAAGTCCGTTTAATTTTTTTCATATGCTCTGTTTATACCTCAAGTTAATTATCATGCAATTTCCATGAGCTTTCTACGCACTATGGTTACACATATTATCTCATTATTAATACAATGGAAGAGAGACATGAGAGGGACAAAATTTAACAGTTTTAGCATCACCCAAAAATTCGCTCGCATGACCACCGTCCAATGATTATCAGCCTGACATTCATTACCAGGTACACACTGTAAGTACACAAAATATGCAGCAGGCTCATTATGAATGTCCAGGTATATACTACTAATTCGAAAACCTCGTATAATTCACCCATGGGCTTGAAAGGGTAAAAAGGCTAAAAGGGTTAAAAGGGTACAAAATGGTTGAAGGTACAAAGGGTTAAAAGGGTACAAAGGGTTAAAAGGGCACAAAGGGTACAAAGGGTTAAAAGGGTACAAGGGGTTAAAAGGGTACAAAGTATCAGCGGCCACTCGCAGGCCATTCGTAGGCCGCCGATTAACCGGCCTATAATTCTATCATGAAAAGATAGGCTCGAGTAACCTCTCACGCTGCAATGCTGTTCACTCGACTGGAATAATAGTGCCGCCAAACAGCCAAGAAACGACTAAAAATTATGCACTAGGTGTGGAACGAAAAAGCCTTTTGCACATTTGCTTTCATTGAGAATTAGCATAAGGAATGAACCCAAACTGTAACTGCACTGCAACTCCCGAGCACTGCAACTTCCAAGCAATGCAACTACCTAGCACTGTAACTGATCCCGACTATTGAGATTACAAGACCATGCAGCAGCTCCGACTAAATTGTGCGCCACCACATCGAATTTCCAGTGATCACCAGCACAACACCATCAGTGATCACCAGCACAGCACCATCAGTGATCACCAGCACAGCACCATCAGTGATCACAAGCACAACACCATTAGTGATCACCAGCAAAACACCATCAGTGATCACCAGCACATCAAGACAAGAGACCTATAGGAGAACCTGTGAGACCTTACGAGACTTTGCCAGGCACCGTTTTGGATGCCAGGCTCTTTCAATTATTCTAATAGAATATTTACGTAACGTACAATCTAATGGGCGCCGTTCTAAATAACAAGAATTAAGGTTTATTTATTATCTACTAGGGCTGGTACATCTAACCTAGTTCTAGATGCCTGCCGCTCATGCAGACTGCTTGATTAGACGCAGTTTCAGAAGCTCGATGTTGACTTTCTTTTTAATTAGACGTAGTTCTAAATGCCCAATGTAGATTTTCTGTTTAATTAGACGTAGTTCTAGATGCCCGATGTAGAGTTTGTTTAATTAGACGCAGTTCTAGATGCCCAATGTAGACTTTCTGTTTAATAAGACGCAGTTCTAGATGACCAATGTAGATTTTCTGTTTAATTAGACGTAGTTCTAGATGCTTGATGTAGAGTTTGTTTAATTAGACGCAGTTCTAGATGCCCAATGTAGACTTTCTGTTTAATAAGACGCAGTTCTAGATGCCCGATGTAGACTTTCTGTTCAATTATAGACGTAGTTCTAAATGCCCGATGTAGACTTTCTGTTTAATTAGACGTAGTTCTAGATGCCCGATGTAGACTTTCTGTTTAATTGGACGTTGTATTAGAAACCCGATGTTGACTCTCTTTAATTAGTCGCATTCTAGAAGCCCGATGCTGACTCTCTTTAATTAGGCGCAGTTCTAGATGTCCGATGTTGACTCTCTTTAATTAGGCGCAGTTCTAGATGTCCGATGTTGACTCTCTTTAATTAGACCCAGTTCTAGTTGCCCCCGCCAGCGTTTGATTTCATCGGTTAAATTATCGCTGTCACGCACAGGAAAATCTGCCTGGGCTCAAAACTGCCGAAATTGACGACCAGAGCAGCGGCATTCATCAAACAACTTGGTCATTTCACGAGGTATTGATTCATTGCCAAGCCTCGGCAGGTACAAATCCAATTGACAAGCACAGAAGGTTTACAGTTGGCCGATCAATATCCGATGGCAAGCCGGCGCTGATCTGGCCAACATTTTCAATAAGGTAGGCAGGGACATCATGGAATTGTGCTTACGGACAGTAATTTTCAGCTTGTTAGCGACCTGTATTCAGCATGAGCATGATAAATCATTTTCCACCAGCCAGGTACGAATAGCATTGAATAGATACACGAATTCTACCTCATAGAGGCAGTGAATGATTGATTGATAATACAACAGTGATTCGACAGTCGTAAGTTATACACGGAGACAAAGGAAATCCAAATAAAGAGAATGTCAACGACTGCATTTTTTCGGTTACTCGGGTTCGTGCTGTTTGCCGCAAAAAGTTGAATCGAAAGTGACTGGTATTTTTTCCAGAATCATGATTAAGAAATGAAATATCATTGTTTTCGTGAATTACTTTTGCAACCATGAAACAATTTTCAACAATTTTATTCCCACACATTCGAAGCCAGATGGCCTACAATATATACGAAGGCGGATGGTCAGTGCACTATACGCAAATGGAAAGGAATTAAACGCAGCAGTTGCCACGTTATTTCATCTCAAATTCCAGAGTATGGAACGTATTACGATGTTTGATAATGGGAATGCTCATTGCAAATCAATATTTTAGTAATTATTCAAGACGCTTCTTCAACTCGGAGTAAATAAAGCATCGTAGACGCTCACTACGGCCCATATACACAATGAAACGAAGCTTTTCTCTTCAGGAATAAGTGCGACGAGCCAAATTAGTTACATTGACACGTAAAGGCATCAAGAAAATTGCTCATTGTCCCGTGATCGGAAAAAGTCCTTTATACAACTAGTGTTATATACAGAGTTATATTTATTGTTCCAGAAGACGCTTGATACGTAATTCTTATTATAGGTATTGCAGGCAGATAATTTTGAGAATTCGAAATGTTCTCAATGCAGGCGGAAGAATATGAGAATTCAAAATTATTCGTAGCTTTTAAATAAAAAATGAGTCTTATTAAATCAATATATGAAAAAAATTATCAACATAGATTTTTAAATTAAGACCAAACAGGAAAAATACATAGTAGCGGTCACAACAATGATACTTTTCATGATCGCAAATTAATCAAAGTTCAACTTGTATTTTGGCCAATAATTTTAACATTTTTTCCTTAATTCTTCAGGTACGATAATGTGTTTTCCTGCCCAGACGCAGTCTTCTCTTTTTCTACAGATGTGCGTAGTGCGAATGTGTTTGTGTCGGAGTGTTGGCGCTAAACGTCTACACGAGATTGACAGAACACCGAGGGAGGAGTTATCGTACTTGACATCTGCTTGTTCCTCCACTCCATTCTGATGACCGCCTACACATCGAAGACTGCGACATGCCAGCGTCAGAGAGTGCTTTTAAATTTTAAAGCTCAATCTCTGTTCCCTCAAATTTTAGTATCTTGTAACCGTTGCCTATTTTCAGCGGAAACCTTATCCCCAACACTAACCGTTCTGAAATGTTTGAAAATGTAAATTGTTATGGTCTTACGTAATTTCACACAGCATAACTTTGGTCGTTCCAATAACAATAAATGTTTGAGTGTGGTGTAAGCAGTATTTGAAACGGTTCATTTGAAAATTTGTTGAATTTACTCATCATTTTCTTGGCTTTCAAATTTTTGATCAAGGGATCTTCCGCAATTTTTTTGAGGGGGGTTGTTAGGATATCTGAATTACCTCTAAAATTCCTCTTTCTGTTCGAAAAAGACCTTTTGGCATCCCCAATTGAATTGCATTCATTAGAAAATTTTGAGGTATGTAAATGGGCAAACTCCGAAGACGCACCGCTCGCCCAAAGAACATTTCTGAGAGCAAAATCAAACTGTAACGTGTAAGGTTTTAATTTAAACGTTAAATATGACGATACACGACTAATATTCTCCGCAAAAATGCAGCCCTCCATAAATAGTATTTTTTTGAAATTTAAAATCCTCGGCGGTTCTTATGAACATTGTAATGTAAATCATACTTCCTATATAACACAGTATTCATTATTAGATAACACAATGATTTGCCTCTTGACGCGATGTTTGTTTCTCACAAAATGTCGTTAAATTACAGATTGCTTCACTAATATGATTTTCATATGATCACATTTTCATAATACACGAATGGTCCCGACGCAGAATTACAGATTGCTTTACTAATATGAAAATGACACCTTTTCATGATACACGAATGGTCCCGAAAATAGCCATGAAATTTCAACAGGACGAAGGATAACTAATCGTTCTAATACAAAGTTTCGGGGCATAAGCTGACCATAAGTATACCTTGTAGAATAGTAAACAATAACTGTCCAAGTCTAACAAAGAAGTTTGCATCGCAATCCGTGAATAGGATTGGGGCTCGCTGCAAAGTAATGAAAAGGTGTCAGCCCTTTAATTGCAATCAGATGTGAATGCATGATTATACCTTGCGATACAAATATATTTTCAACTAGAACTATCTCGTGTACTGGTACTTCATTTTTCAACACGTCCCTAGGCAAATCATACATAAATTTTGATATTTTATTAAGGAAATTTCGTGCTTCCTTAGACGAGAGTCAAAGATGATTCGATACAGGAACTTTATTTAGTTCAGAAGTGATTTCTGTAACAAGTGGAAATATGACAAGAAATTAACTTCAATTGTGGTATAATAACTGGTATATGTATCAACTGCTGTTTCAATTACCTAGTAAACGAGTAAAGATCGGTACAAAATTGACATTGGTACAAAATAGACTATATTCAAACAAGGATCTTCGGAATCATCGGAAAAACTAGGTTGCTTTAAGACGTAAGAAATTCGAGGTCATGGTACTATACTGCAACGTTATACAAATCCAACTGAACGTGACGAAAACCATATCACCTTGCATCGGACATTAAGAGTCGAACCGATTTGCTATCGAGAGACCTCAACATATTTAATCAAGATTTTTATGTAGTAAAAATTATTCCGCTTCCAAAGGAATTTTAATAAATAGATAAAAAAGACTGTAAATTGATAAAAAGACTGCGTATTCAGCAGTTCTAGAAAGGATGCTTGCTTCTTCCAAGACAAGGTTTTCATGCCAACTCGTATTTGGTTAGTAAACCTTAAACCCAGGGCATTTTTTCGGTCAGTAACCTTAACACCTATATATATAGCGGATTTATTTGGCCAGTAACCCTTAAACTATGCGCATTTATTCAGCTAGTAACCCTAAAACCCTGGTTACCTGACCAGTAACGCCTGTACCCTAAAACATCGTTACTTGATCATCCAGGGTCCGCATGTGACGAAGAGTCGTAGTCTCTAATCAGAGTGACAGCTACGTTAAATATTCACAGGTTCTAAGGCGTGTTGCAACGTCACGCTACACATGCTGCAGTCGACCCACTTCACCTGCCCCATCGAATTTTTTCGGCGTCGAATAATTGGCCGACGATAAGCCGCCCTTAACTTTCAATAAGGCTGGGCATCACGTCCAGAAAGGCCCTAATTTCGATGCCCTTTGAAGTCGTTCGTGGTCTGTCATTACACAAACCCGGCGGCAGGGCATGCGTGGGCACAACTGCACGAACTGCAGTAATGCACCGCGCATGCATACCAATGCACGAGGTATGCACGCTAGTGTACATGATATGCACGCAAATGCGCGTGAAATTCAAGCAAATGCATGAGGCATGCACGCCAATGCACGCGGAATGCACGCAAATGCACGAGGCATGCACGCAAATGCGCGTGAAATGCAAGCAAATGCACGAGGGATGCTCGCCAATGCACGCGGAATGCACGGAAATGCACGGGGCATGCACGGTAATTAATGAACGTCGCCAGCTTGATATTCAGGATATGCTATAAAATAGTTCTTTACATTTATACAGGAGACAACCCAGACCTTCACACTCCTGATACATGCTAAGAAATAAAAATAAATTACAAAATATAATCATTCAAAAAAAAATTGGGAAAACCTAACATACATTAGAAAAGTTACCGATGATCGTAGAGAGTGCGTGCGAATTGAGCGCTAGGATGACTATGAAAAAATCTGGCACCGTGCACGAATTTATTTATTTTATTTAACCGATTCATTCGTGAATCAAATCTAGTGAATCAATTCAATATCAAGTAAATTCATAACGCGAAAAAAGAACATAACTTTAAGCTAAAAGAGAAGCAACATAAAGCAAGAGCTGAATGAGGTATCAATAATAAGTAACGATACATTGGCAGCTGATCACAAGGCACTGCAAG